GTGTAGAATATATAAATATAATATAGATATACATAGATATATATATATATACATATATATATATATAATATATATATATATATATATATATATATATATATATATATATTGTAAAGTGTACATTAGTGGCTACAAAATGCACGGGAATTCATGTATTTGTTCATGTGAATTAAAAGAAACTTTTCTTTTCGAAAATTGATTCAAAGATAAAAGTATCATTGCACATGAGTTGTATATTTTGAATTAAAGGCAAAAGGCGCACAGGCTGGCCGCTCCCTTCGTTCTACCCAGACGCAGCAGCAGCAGCAGCAGCAGCAACAGCAAAAGCAGCGCCTCTATGCGTAAATATTTATCTTTATAAACAGACACGTAGCGACAGATGGATATCCATTGCCTACAACTATATTCTTTAATCTAAACGCTTGCAGCAGCAGCAGCAGGAGCAGCAGCAGCAGCTGCAGCTGCAGCAGCAGTAGCAGCTGCAGCAGCAGCAGCAGTAGCAGCTGCAGCAGCAGCAGCTGCTGCTGCTGCTGCAGGCATTTGAGTGCGAGTTCGAGACAAGAGACCAAGCAGCTTCGAGAAAAGGAGAGTGACAAGCCGAAAGACCAAAAGTGTTTGAAATTATTGAAACGGAAAAGTAGTTAATAAACAAAAAATAATAAAGTTGAATTGGCAATTTTGCTTCCTAGAGAGGCCAAATGTTAAAAAAAATAAACAAAAAAGACAAAAAGGAGCAGCAAAACAAACAGAGCAGCAGCAAGAGGCCTCCTTTTCCCCTTTGCTGCTCTAAAAGGGTTTAGGGCTCAGAAATGGGGGGCCCCAAGATTGGGGGCCCCTTACTTCTGTGGCCAGTTGAGGCACAGTTAAAAAATTTTCCACTTAAACAAAATAATTACAATAATAATAATATATTTTTTTTGCTCCAATTAAATTACCGAAAAGATGTTTATATATACCTCGAGACAAAATGCTTCAAGCTATATGCATTTATATACATATGATAGAAGATCGCCTGGGTCCTTCCAGCCAGCTCGGAACCCCCCAGGGGCCCCCAGGCAGCTGGGGGCCCCCTGTGTCGCCAGCAGTGGGGCCGCAGGGGGCCCCCAGGGGCCCCTGGGGGCCCCCGTGCTGGTAGAGGCCCCTTCTTGCAGTACAGGGTCTTCTAGGCTACCTCCGTGAAGCCAGAGGGCCCCCCACTCGCCGTGCGGGCCTCTAGGGCCCCCCTGGAGCCCAAAACTGGACTGAAGATTCGGCCAACTTGGCTAACTATTCCGCTTTCTCCTAAGAAAGCCCTGGTCACGAGGTCCCCCACAGCCACGGGCAGCATCATAACTGAGCGGGTCACATTTGCTGCCACAGCCTGCACATTTGCGACCGAGGGGGGCCCCCCCTCGCCGTCGGCGCCATTCCCCCTGCGGGCCCTCAGGGCCATTTCCCAGGACCTCCTGCGGGGCCCCCGGAGGAGCCCAGGGGCAATGGGGGGCCCCCCTGTGCCCTGTGCAGGGGCCCCAAATGAGGACCATAAGGGCAGCGTGCTCAAGGACGAGGTGGGGGGGCCCCCCTCGTTGCTGGCTGCTGCCGTTTGGGGGCCCATCTCGCTGCCCATGGGGCCCCCGACGGTGAAGTTCTCTCGGTACCCCCAGTTGGGTACAATCATGGGGCCCCTGTTGGCGAACAGCTGGGGGCCCCTCTGGGGCGTTGCCAGGGGCCCCAGCCTCGCCTCTTCTGGGAAGTTCCTGTTGGCAACAATCTGCAGGACCCTGTCGGGGGCCCCCTCCTCTTCCTGTGCGTGGAGGAGGGGGGCCCCTTGCGGGCAGCCGTCGGGGGCCTCCTGGGCCTCCACGAGGGCCCCCAGGTCCTCATCAGGACCCGGGGGGCCCCCTTCTTCTTGGGCCTCGCTGCCGATTTGCTGCAGGTACCTCCTGCAGGGCTTCGAGCGGGAGCGGGAGCCCTTACCAAGGTACCCCCAATGCTTCTTGTAGTTAAAACGAGGAGGCCCATTATAGACAACATTGGGCCTGAGGCTTGGCACAAAGAGGGTACTGCTGCTCGCCTTGCTGGGGGGGGAGCTGGGGGGGTTCTTACCCGGGGGGCCCCCCTGGGACCCCTTCTGGGGGACCTTCTGGGGGGGCCAGGGGGCCCCTCCGCCCTGTGTTGGACCCGTAGGGTGCATCCCGATGCTGCCGGAGGGCCCGTCAGTTGGGCGCCAGCCACTGTCTGGGTAGTTGGGGGCCCCCCCATCCCCGGGAAAGTCCGAATCACCTCCACTTCCAGGGGACTCTGGACTTCCATCTCCAGGATATTCTGGTCTTTCTCCTCCCGGATATTCTGGCCTTTGGCCTCCAGGATATTCTGGCCTTCCTCCAGGATATTCTGGTCTTTGGCCTCCGGGATATTCAGGTCTTTGGCCTCCAGGATATTCAGGTCTTTGGCCTCCAGGATATTCTGGTCTTTGGCCTCCAGGATATTCTGGTCTTTGGCCTCCAGGATATTCTGGCCTTCCTCCAGGGTACTCTGGCCTTCCTCCTGGATATTCTGGTTGATCACCTCCAGGATAATCTGGTTGATCACCTCCAGGATATTCTGGTCTTCCTCCAGGATATTCTGGTCTTCCTCCCGGGTAATCAGGTTGATCACCTCCCCCAGGATATTCTGGTTGATCACCTCCAGGATATTCTGGTTGATCACCTCCAGGATAATCTGGTTGATCACCTCCAGGATATTCTGGTCGATCACCTCCAGGATATTCTGGTCGATCACCTCCTGGATATTCTGGTTGGTCACCTCCTGGATATTCTGGTTGATCACCTCCAGGATATTCAGGTTGATCACCTCCTCCTGGATATTCTGGTTGATCACCTCCTCCAGGATAATCTGGTTCATCACCACCTCCAGGATAATCTGGTTCATCTCCACCAGGATATTCAGGTTGGTCACCTCCTCCAGGATATTCAGGTTCATCACCTCCACCTCCAGGATATTCAGGTTCATCACCTCCACCTCCAGGATATTCAGGTTCATCTCCACCTCCTCCAGGATACTCTGGTTCATCACCACCACCTCCTGGAGATTCTGGTTCATCACCACCACCTCCTGGAGATTCTGGTTCATCTCCTCCATCTCCAGGAGATTCAGGTTCATCACCTCCTGGAGATTCAGGTTCATCACCACCTCCAGGATATTCTGGTTCATCTCCACCACCTCCTGGATAATCAGGTTCATCTCCACCTCCTCCAGGATATTCTGGTTCTCCTCCGCCTCCTGGGCGGTCACCGGGGCCCTCGTCATCCCCGCCATCGTCTCCAGAGTCCCCGCCATCGGGGCCTTCCTCTGGAGGCCCCCCTTCAGGGGGGCCCCCCTCCTCTGGGGGCCCCCCACCCCCGGGGGGCCTCCACTCGGGCCTATCCCCAGGCCCAAACGGGGGCCTCCCACCCGGCCAATAGGGGGGCCGGCCTCCAGGCAAGTAGGGGGGATAAGGAACAGGGAAATAAGGAGGAAGTGGCCGGGGGGGCCTCCCACCTCCTGGGCCTATTGGTGGACGGCCTCCAGGGCCCACAGGGGGGCCCCCTGGGCCTATGGGTGGCCGGCCTCCTGGGCCTATAGGGGGGCCCCCAGGGCCTATGGGGGGCCTGCCTCCTGGGCCTATAGGAGGGCCTATGGGAGGGCGACCTCCTGGGCCTATGGGGGGGAACCCAGGGCCTACTGGAGGGCGTCCTCCAGGGCCTATAGGGGGGCCCCCAGGGCCTATTGGTGGGCGACCTCCGGGGCCTATTGGGGGGCCCCCAGGGCCTATTGGTGGGCGGCCTCCGGGGCCTATTGGGGGGCCCCCAGGGCCTATTGGTGGGCGACCTCCTGGGCCTATTGGTGGGCGACCCCCTGGTCCTATAGGCGGGCGTCCTCCAGGGCCAATTGGGGGGCCCCCAGGGCCTATTGGTGGGCGACCTCCAGGGCCCCCAGGCCCTATTGGTGGGCGCCCTCCGGGGCCCCCAGGGCCTATTGGTGGGCGACCACCGGGGCCCCCTGGCCCTATGGGTGGGCGACCTCCAGGGCCTACTGTAGGGGGGCCCCCAGGGCCTATGGGTGGTCGACCTCCGGGGCCCCCAGGGCCTATGGGTGGGCGGCCTCCGGGGCCCCCAGGGCCTATTGGTGGGCGGCCTCCGGGGCCCCCAGGGCCTATTGGTGGGCGACCTCCGGGGCCCCCAGGGCCTATTGGTGGGCGACCTCCGGGGCCCCCAGGGCCTATTGGTGGGCGACCTCCGGGGCCCCCAGGGCCTATTGGTGGACGGCCTCCAGGGCCCCCTGGGCCACCAGGGCCTAGTGGGGGGCCTCCAGGCCCTATTGGTGGACGGCCTCCAGGGCCCCCTGGGCCTCCAGGGCCTATTGGTGGGCGACCTCCGGGGCCCCCAGGCCCTATTGGTGGGCCCCCAGGACCTATAGGTGGACGACCTCCGGGGCCACCAGGGCCTATTGGTGGGCCCTCAGGGCCTATTGGTGGACGGCCTCCAGGGCCCCCAGGGCCTATAGGTGGGCGACCTCCGGGGCCCTCTGGGCCAGGACCTATTGGTGGGCGACCTCCGGGGCCCCCAGGGCCTATAGGTGGGCCCCCAGGGCCTATTGGCGGGCGACCGCCGGGCCCCCCGGGGCCTATTGGTGGGCCCTCAGGGCCTATTGGTGGGCGACCTCCGGGGCCCCCTGGGCCTATAGGTGGGCCCTCAGGGCCTATTGGTGGGCGCCCTCCAGGGCCTATAGGGGGGCCTTCTGGGCCTATCGGGGGTCGTCCTCCAGGGCCTATAGGGGGGCCTTCTCCTCCAGGGCCTATAGGGGGGCCTTCTGGGCCTATAGGAGGACGTCCTCCAGGGCCTATAGGGGGGCCTTCTGGGCCTATAGGTGGGCCCCCAGGTCCCATAGGTGGGGGCCCCGGGGGTGGCCGCTCCGGTATTATTGGGGGAACCCACACGGGAGGGAGCGGCAAAATAGGAGGCAAGGGAAAATCTCCTCCAGGTCGTGATGGCCCACCCCCGCCTGGAGATCCAGATCCACCGCCTGGTCCAGAGGGGCCCCCACCACCGCCTGGTCCAGAGGGGCCCCCACCACCGCCTGGTCCAGAGGGGCCCCCACCACCGCCTGGGCCAGAGGGGCCCCCACCACTTGGACCAGAGGGGCCCCCACCACCGCCTGGGCCAGGAGGGCCCCCGCCGCCGCCTGGGCCAGGAGGGCCGGCACCACCGCCTGGGCCAGAGGGGCCCCCGCCACCTCCTGGACCAGAAGGGCCCCCACCTCCTGGGCCAGAAGGACCGCCACCTGGGCCAGAGGGACCCCCACCACTTGGGCCAGAGGGGCCCCCTCCTCCTGGGCCAGAAGGACCGCCACCTGGGCCAGAGGGGCCCCCTCCTCCTGGGCCAGAGGGGCCCCCTCCTCCTGGGCCAGAAGGACCGCCACCTGGGCCAGAGGGGCCCCCACCACTTGGACCAGAGGGGCCCCCTCCTCCTGGGCCAGAAGGACCGCCACCTGGGCCAGAGGGGCCCCCACCACTAGGGCCAGAAGGACCGCCACCTGGACCAGAGGGGCCCCCACCACCGCCTGGGCCAGAGGGGCCCCCTCCTCCTGGACCAGAAGGACCGCCACCTGGGCCAGAGGGGCCCCCACCACTGGGGCCAGAAGGACCGCCACCTGGGCCAGAGGGGCCCCCACCACTTGGACCAGAGGGGCCCCCACCACTTGGGCCAGAGGGGCCCCCTCCTCCTGGTCCAGAAGGACCGCCACCTGGGCCAGAGGGGCCCCCACCACTAGGGCCAGAAGGACCGCCACCTGGACCAGAGGGGCCCCCTCCTCCTGGGCCAGAAGGACCGCCACCTGGGCGAGAGGGGCCCCCACCACTGGGGCCAGAAGGGCCGCCACCTGGGCCAGAAGGACCGCCACCTGGGCCAGAGGGGCCCCCACTTGGTCCAGAGGGGCCCCCACCACTTGGGCCAGAGGGGCCTTCACCACTTGGGCCAGAGGGGCCCCCACCACCGGGTCGCGAAGGGCTTCCTCCACTTGGTCCAGAGGGGCCCCCACCACTTGGTCCAGAAGGGCCCCCACCACCGGGTCGCGAAGGGCTTCCTCCACTTGGTCCAGAGGGGCCCCCACCACTTGGGCCAGAGGGGCCTTCACCACCGGGTCGCGAAGGGCTTCCGCCACTTGGTCCAGAGGGGCCCCCACCACTTGGTCCAGAGGGGCCCCCACCACCGGGTCGCGAAGGGCTTCCTCCACTTGGTCCAGAGGGGCCCCCACCACTTGGGCCCGAGGGGCCCCCACCACTTGGGCCAGAGGGGCCCCCACCACCGGGTCGCGAAGGGCTTCCACCACTTGGTCCAGAAGGGCCTCCGCTACTTGGGCCAGAGGGGCCCCCACCACTTGGGCCAGAGGGGCCCCCACCACCGGGTCGCGAAGGGCTTCCTCCACTTGGTCCAGAGGGGCCCCCACCACTTGGGCCAGAGGGGCCTTCACCACTTGGGCCAGAGGGGTCCCCACCACCGGGTCGCGAAGGGCTTCCGCCACTTGGTCCAGAGGGGCCTCCGCTACTTGGGCCCGAGGGGCCCCCACCACTTGGGCCAGAGGGGCCCCCACCACCGGGTCGTGAAGGGCGTCCTCCACTTGGCCCAGAGGGTCCTCCGCTACTTGGTCCAGAGGGGCCCCCACCACTTGGGCCAGAGGGGCCCCCGCTACTTGGGCCAGAGGGGCTCCCACCACCGGGTCTCGAAGGGGTCCCACCACTTGGGCCAGATGGGCGGCCACCTCCTGGACTGGAGGGGCCCCCACCACTTGGGCCAGAGGGGATCACACCACTGCCGGGTCTTGAAGGGCCTTCGCTACTTGGTCCAGAGGGGCCCCCACCGCTTGGTCCCGAAGGGCCCCCACCACTTGGGCCAGAAGGGCCCCCAATCCCTGGACTAGAGGAACCCCCACCGCCGGGTCTTGAAGGGCGTCCTCCACTTGGGCCAGAGGGGCCCCCAGTTCCTGGTCCAGAGGGCCTCCCACCTCCCGGACTAGGACTCCCACCACTTGGTCCAGAGGGGCCTCCACCTGATGGGCCAGATGGGCCCCCAGCTCCCGGCCTGGAGGGTCCGCCACCGCCCGGGGAGCTGGGTCCACTCCCCGGGGACGAGGGGCCCCCCCCAGGGCTAGAGGGTCTGCCTGCTCCTGGACTTGAGGGGGGCCCTCCTCCAGGGCTACTGGGTCTTCCACCGCCTCCTGGGCCTGACGGCCTGCCGCCGCCTGGGGAGCCAGGGCTCCCTCCTGGGCTGCTCGGCCTTCTGCGGGCATCAAACTCACTGGGAGAAGAGAAGGGCGCTGTTGCTGCAGGAAACTGAGGGGCCTGGAGGCGCCTCTGGTCCTCCTGCAGGTCTGCTGCAGCGGCCTGGAGGTCCCCCGTTGCGCCTGAGGCTGGCGGCTCCGACAGGGCAACAGTTCCCAGGATCAAATGGATCAAAAGCGTCAGCAGCACATACATGAGGGGCCCCCGAAAGGGTCTACACAAGACGCGCAGCCGAGAGCCTTGGGCCCTCGGCTGCGCTGACGCTGGCAACTTCATAGGGCACAGCCGTGGCGAAACATGCAAATACAGAAGTCAAAGAGCTTCTTTTCCAAAAGGTTTAAAGAAAAAACGCATTCACTGTGTTATTTCAATTGGCTCTCCATGAGGCATAGCAGCTCATGATCGGTCGGCAAGCAGTTGGCTTAAGCCTTCTGGGCGCACAGCGCCAGGCGAGGAGATTCGCCCGAAAACAACCCTCAAATAAACTAATTAAGATAGTTCAAACAAACAAACAAAGTAAAATAATTCAAAAAATAAACTTGTGCCCTCGAAAGGAGGCACCAGATCGTGGTGGTTCAGATCACCAGCTGCTGGTGGTCGAGTGGGCAGCGGTCTGCGGCGAGACAGCGCGGGGCGTCCAGAAAGCGCAAATCCTCTTTTTCCCCTTTTTCTTCGCTGTTTTTTGAAAAGATTTTGCATGTTTGTGCTTGAAAATGGAATACTTTCGGGAAAAAAATTGGAGGCTTAAGGCTCTCGGGCCGAAGAGAAACGCAACAGTGCAGGTCACTCAGCTGGCTTGCCAGGTACTCCTCAGCTGGCTCTGTGAAGTAGCAGCAGTACTCGTGGTCTTCTGTTGTAAATATCAAATGTTTACTACCACTGTTCTTAGTTCTCAGGATTAAAATCTAACTGTCTACACGGAGCTTCTCTCCCGGGGTTTTCTTTAGTAAACCGGCAGACCGGTAGCCAACAGTAGTTGTAGCTAGCCCGCCTAGGCAGTATTTCCTTAGAGCCACTGCAGAGCTACAGGGTGCCTAAAGTCAAAAAGGCCTCGAAGAGGGCGCAGCAGGTCTTCGCAGCTCGTTTGGGGGCCTCTGTTGCGTGTCTTTGTGCCTTTTTCTCTCGAGTTTCTACCTAGAGGGCTCAGTGAGCTCTCTAGGTCTCGCTGCAAAGCACAAGAAACGAATAAATCTTTTCATGATTTTCTTCGCCTACATTGGGTCTTGCAGCAGATATTTCTGTAGAGCGCAGTCCCGCAGCCCGCAGCACCTGCGCTGCAGCAGCTGCCTGCGGCCGCTGATGATATATATCCACGCACGTCACATAAAAATATGCATAACTATACTAATATATATATGTATATTCATATCAAATACCTCTTCTGCCATTCCTGACCCACTTCGGTCGACTGGAAGGGGAGCCGTCCGCTGACAGTGGCACAGTGGAAAAGCCAAGAAAGGGTCCCCCAGGCCCCACTACAGCCCTCTTTAGGCTTCCCGGGGGCCCCCGGGGCCCTATTGAGGTTTCTCTGGGTCCTCCAAGGCTCTTTAGAGCTTGCAGCTACCTCCAGTATCTTCAGATTAGTGGTCTGTTGCCTTCAGCGCAAGCAAAAATGCATATTAAATATACTTTTGCACTGATTTAGGTTTGTTGGGTCTGCCACCCCATACAGCAAAAAAGGTTCCAGTAGTGGCTGCTTGCCCAGTTGCCTCAAGTGTACAGACACCCCAAAGGTCTTTTTCAGTAAAGCTCTGGTTTCCAGCGTGGCTTGTGCTCCCGCAAATGTTGTGCGCAGCTTTCTTTGCTGAAGCTTCGCACACAGATGTTTATGGAAGGGTTGTATCGGATGCAGTGAGCTTTTATTTCGTTTAATTTTGCTGTACGCATCGTGTTTTGGTATAGGGTGGTGTAGATGGGTATGAGGTGACGATAAACACGCACCGCCTTGTGGGGCTCTGCATTGAAGTCTACAGCGCGACGCCGAGCCACTGCATCACCCTAAGTTGCACTGACCTATGCATTGGGGCACGTTGAACATGTTCAAGTGCCGTGTGTTACTGAGCCTTCGCAACATCTACATAACCATTCAGGTCATCTGTTCAAGCACAGGGCCACACACGATTTGTCGCGATGTCGATGAACCAGCACCGCAATGAATCCACATTTCTTTGTACGAATGAGCAGTTGAATTCAACGATGTAGCTGCACCAATTTTTGTCGACAGTGTCACCACTGGAGGGCTCACAGAAGAGGGCTTCGTTTGGTTTCTGGGGACGAAGAGTGTTTGGGCTTTACGGGTATTCGATCTAACGGCTGCGATTTGGATGGCCATTTGGTCTGCTTCTGCGCCCCATGCAAAGTGCCAATTCTCTGCAACCACTGACCACCATGTCAGCATATTCTGCAAGTGGCTAGTTTGTAACACCTTGTTTACGATCAGCCTATATGTGTGCTTCTGAATGTGTCACGCCAGTCATCTGGACGCGCCTTTGTATTTTTGTGTTTAATCAATTTGCGATGGTATGTCCGAATCCACCAGCAATGGCGCAGCTTTCACTTCCGAATAGGTCTGAAGACATGGCGTTCTCAACAGGCCATCCTCTCGATACCATAGGCTTTGCTTCACTGCCTACCATTTTTAACGGCGGGCAAATTCCATGGCTACTCGAAATGATGAATAGTATGGCAATCGAGATATGCAGCAGTGTGTAGTTGCATGCATGGAGCACGTGCCACAGTGCCTGTCTGTTTCGCTGCGTGCAAAATGGCTTTGTTGTTTGGTCGCCTGGCGTGATGGATCATCGTTACTTCACAGCAAATCTGGCTTTGGATTGGACATCCACGCTCTGGCACAATTGTGTTATATGCATTATAGGCACCACGTCTTTCGTATCCTCTGTCGGCATCGAGCATGCCTTTGCTTGATTCTTGTCCGGATTACTCACATTTTGCGCCTTGAATGACTGTCTGGTGCTGAACATAGTGGCTTTCCTCTGCTGCGGCAGTCCGCAGAATGTTTTCTTTTCTTCATTTAAAATAAATAAACTGAATAGTTTGCAAAATACAAAAAAAGAAAAGTGGCAAACGAATTTGCTTCCGTGACCTGAGTTTCCCGTTTCACCAGTGGCAGTCGCCAGCCGATGTGAAGGTGCCTTGTCCGTGATATGATGCTGCTGAAGCGCCATCATCCGCTGCATCATGAGCACGGTCTGCACAACGGAATAAGTGAACGTTCGGCTTTGTAGGAACTGCAGCTTTCCCTCGATATCAACGCGCTGGCGTGGCACCGTGTTAGCGTTGTGCACGAACTGCCAAGAGTTCTTTTGTCAACAGTTCCTCACCAGCTTGGACTGGAGAATGTATTTTTTAAGGATTACAAGGAAACCTTTCCAGATGAGCACTACAGGCGCGCGAAGTAGAGATTGGAGTTTGACGATTTTTCCTTTCTGCGTTTGCGTGCTTTGCGTACTGTTGAGCTCCTGTGACCGGCGATGCATCGAAGTGCAACATATCGTGTCGGCGGCGGTATTTGGGTAATAAGCTGGCGGCCTTTTGCTTGTGCATCTGCTTTCACTCGTTTGTTTTGCATGATTTCGGCGTCTCCTTAAGTCTGGTCAATCGGCGGTAGTACACGATAAGAGTCGCTGAGTTGCCAGTTTTCAGGTACGGGCAAAGAAGACCGCATGGCCTCTCCAACTACGCCATCACATCACAGTACGTGCGTTTGCAGCACTCCCTTCCAACACTACATTGTCGAAGGCTTGCTGCTATTGGGGAAATACCTGTGGATATAGACTGGCCTTCTACAGAGGCATAGATGCCCCGCATGTCGTGGTGGCTGGTTGACTCCCTCTAGGCATTATAGCTTTGCTAGATGGGTATCTGACATGCTTGCGCTTTTGCTGCAGGCGACAGGCAATTTGAGCATTGTAAAAGCCGTTGTGAGATAGCGTGTCTGTTGTGTGATCTCAAGCAGTGTTTGATGGCATCGAGGCCGTTTGCACTTACCTGCGGCGTGTCACATTATTGATGTGAGCATTGCATAAATGCGGGTGAAACTGCCAGCAGACTTTATGTTTAGGAATGCGCGCTCGTGAGGCAGCGGAGGTGATAATTTTGAATTCAGTTTGCTGGCAGCGGCTTGTACGTTAGCGCGACGTTGGTGTTCTGTGGCTGCAAAAAAGCAGAGCACCTCGGGAGAAACGAAAAGCCTGCTGCAAAATGATAAAAGTCTATGGATGTCGTGGCCGAGCCTTGCCTATGCCTAGAGGCACCGCTGCAGACTTTTGGAGCATTAGTTAATAGTCCTTGAGAGTCAAGATATAAGGAGACGCCGATATACTCGTTGTGGAGAGCATCTGTCACGTGATGCTCTGCACCGCGAAGTAGGTTATTTTTGGCTACTTTGAACTGCGATGGTTCTTGATGGATTAAGCGATCTGCAATGGCATGCTCTGTTGGGCGACACAGTTGCATTCAGACTGGCTTTCCCGCTGTAGGAGATTGTAGTAAGGAGAGAAAAAGCAAGGGTCACGCATTGTGCGGCCCTACAACTGCGTGAGGTAGAACAATCAGGGCGTGCGCCGACGCATGCTCTGCTAACCCGAACCCCCACGTTGGTGGATTCCATCTTCTCTTGCATTTGTGTCCACTGTCTCCATAAAGCAAGGGCTGAACGCTTCTTGCACAGGATCTGCCCTCACCGTCTGCAACGCCAATGCAGTTACGTGGTACCATGTCCAATTTTTCGCGTAAATTGGCGAGTTGGTCACTGCAGTTTCTTAGACAGCTCCATCCATGGATGGAACGGAAAAACTGCATTTGCAGACACGCCAAAAGCCCTTTCCGCCGAAATATGAAGGGCCTCTGCGCAGGAGATTGGAATTCAATGCATAGGCGAATTTGTGCACCATGCGCACTTCGGTATTGGCTGACTACCGATACATATGCGTGCATTGCCGGTAGCCTTCACCGTGTATATTTGCTTTCTTTTATTTGCCTAGCATGA